AAAAAAAAAAAAAAAAAGTACCGACACACTGTTACATACCTAAATTTCCAAAGGGCTCATGCCCCCAAAGTGTGAGAACTCTTACCTAATTTGCACATGACAAGTTCAAGACACTGTGCTACCTAAGGGAGAAGGTGTAGATGGATCATGAAATACATTAATATTTTAAGTGTTTATTGCTATTACTACATTTTTATCCATCAAAGGGGTATGTCATGATCTATAAGCAACAGGAAAGCTGTTTTCTATTATCTTTAACAATAGACCCTTTAGTTTCTTAGTATAGCTAAGTCTGGGGTAATACACTGTTTTTCCTCAGTATTCATATTTCTCAAAAGCTGTGTTAACTAAAAAGCAAAAACAGTATAATGTGATGTCAGGTAAATAACATCTATGATGCTTAAGGGACAAATTTTTATCCAACAGAACAAGCAACCATTGCTCTCTCTCCATTTTTAAATTTCAGTAATTTTAACTCTAATGAGCTATTTTACATTTTTTCATACTAACTCTTAAAATCCTGTGTGTATTTATACTTATAGCCCTTATCAATTTGACTAATACATTTCAAATGCTTAGTAGCGACCTGTTGCTTGTACCTACCATATTCGACATTGATCTATACCAGCGACTTTCAACTTTTTCATCTCATGGCACACAAACTGATTTTTAAAAATAGGTATAATTCTGATTCATTCACAGCAGACAGCTATTGTTGTTTTGGCTGTCATTTTTTTATTTGACAATCTAAGGCAAAAGAAGTCAGTACCCCTGACTAAATATAGTCAGGTATTGCATGTTTTAAAAATTCTTGTGGCACACAGGTTGAAAATCACTGATCTAATGTTACTGATTTCATTTTGTAGGTGACTCTAAAGTTACAACAGAGAAAAATACATGTATTGGGTGGTCTTCATAAAAAGAAACACTGCTGCCCAGGTGTGGCTCAGTTGGTTGGAGCACAATCCTATACACTGAAAAGTCACAGGTTCGATTCCCAGTTGGTAGGTTGAGGCAACCGATCGATGCTTCTCTCTCACATACATGTTTCTCTCTCCTCTCTAAAATCAGTAAAGAGGAAGACTACTGTTAGACTCCCCTTGCTAAAGATAAAATCTATTTTCAATTGAGGGGGAAATTTCATCATCTGTACTAATTGGGAGTGTTCTCCCCACAGTAGAAAATATGATTGGGGGGTGAGGTGGATTTTTACTAAAGAAAATAATCTCCCAATTACCCTCCCCCCCAACTTTCTGTAGCTCTCTCCCCTGAAGCAAGCAGACCTGGGGTGGGCAAGCAGTCTGATTCTGGACCTGGGCTAAAGGCCTCAGGAGGGCAGTGGGTTACACTTGTGGTCTCCACGGGGACCTCTGCAGTACATGCCCACAGCCTCCTTAAGAAGGTGTCCTTCAGGGGCCTAGAGCTTCCTCCTGGGGCTCCATGGAGAGCTGACACCTTGTAAGGTCCCATGCAGCTGCCACAGGAGTGGAGACCACTGTAGCACCTTGTGCTCAATGTTCGCTGTTCAGGGATCACAGCACACTATCCGTGAGAGTGGAGAACAGAGCTAAGAAGAGGAAAGGAACATGACAATGTCCTTGAGGGGCTTCCAGCACCCGGAGAGAATACAACACACAGGGAAACAGCTCAGACAGTGGTTTTCAGAGAACAAGTGCTGGGCAAAACTATATTTTAACAGAAAAAAACGAGCACTTTCAGATACTCAATTACAGAATTAAACTTTTTAATACTAAAAACTGAGCTTCAAATTTAAAAGTCAGTAATGAGTTGAAAGAAAGGACAGTGGCCTGAAAACCAAATGAAGAAATATCTCCCCCTAGCCTTGTGGCTCGGTTGGGTGTCATCCCATGCACCAGGGGGTTGCTGGTTTGATTCCTGGTCAAGGGCAGTTATATTTAAATATAAAATAAAAATATCAAAAGAAGTAGAAACAATAAGGGGGGAAGATATGAAATTTGGAGGACATAAGATATAACACAGGACTGGAGAAATAACACGTGAATAACAAATTCAGGAGATAAAGACACAAATGGAGGCAAGAGAACAGATAAAAAATAGAAGGAAATTTTCCTGGCTTAATGATAAACTGTAGGCCTTGGCCGGGTAGCTCAGTTAGTTAGAGCATCATCCCCATAAGCAAAGATTGTGGGTTCAGTCCCCAGGCAGGGCACATACAAGCAGCAACCAATGAATGCATCAGTAAGTAGAACAACAAATCGATCTCTTTTTCCCTCTCAAAATCATTTTTTTATTAAAAAGGATAAATTATGTAGTTCCCAGCAAACATTTTAAAGGCACATGTTGCTAAAAATCCTAAAATTAAACTACAGAAAAAATTGCTTTGGAAAAAGAACAAGTTAGGCAAAAAGAATAAAAATATGGTAGCCATTAGCCACATGCGGCTACTGAGCACTTGAAATGTGTCAAGTACAAATTGAGGTCTGCTGTGCAAGTATTAAAATGCACACTGAGTTGCA